TCTATCTATCTATCTATCTATCTATCTATCTATCTATCTATCAAATTTGTCACCGTCCATCTGGGTGGTTTACAAAACAGTTAAAATCAATTAAAATTACAATATATAATACTCTTAATAATTAGAAAATAAATAAATAAATCCAAGAATAGATATAAAATTGGCAGTCATTCAGGGAGCATCATCAAGGTGCCAGCCACACCCAGGATTGGGTAAGTTTGTTATCACCCCACATGAGCTGGCAGAGCCAGATCTTTAATCCATTCTGGAAGGCTGGGAGGGTAGGGGCCTGCTGCATCTCTGGAAGGAGAATATCCCAAAGGTGGGGCAACAGCAGAGAAGGCTCTTCTCCTGGGCCCTCCCAGCCGACATTCTCTTGCTGACGGGGTCCGCAACATGCCCCCTCTCCCTGACTGGGTAGGACGGGTTGACATGATGGGTGTGAGATGGTTCCTCAAGTAACCTGAACCCATGCCATGTAGGGCTCTAAAGGTAATAACCAACACCTTGAATTGGACCTGGAAGCAGACTGGGGCCCAATGCAGCTTGTGCAGTAAAGGTGTTATATGTGCTATTCTTGGGGCACCCAAGATTGTCCGTGTGACCAACGTTTGGAAGAGTTTAACATTCAATGTTAATATGCTGTCTTTAGCCACAATGTAAGCAGAAAGAAATACTGACACTCACAATGTCAGATGTAATTGTTATTACCTAAAAGCTGGGAAAGAGTCCAAAGGTCACTGGTAGTATTGTTTGGCCTATAATAGACTTTGTCCAGTAGAACTGGATGTCCTCCATCAAAGAAGTAAGAGCACAGAGTTGCAACAGAGGATACAGGGCCTCCTGTGTTGTACCTGTTTAGGCATGGAAGGAAGACATTGGGAAGTATGCACTGATGAAGAAGGCAGACATTAGGCACTTCTACACTACCTCAGCTTCTAGTCCCCAATTCCCCCAAAGCAGTTTGAAAATGATCCACAATTGTACATTGAAATGCTCAGAACAAAGAGCAAAAATGTCTTACCTGCCCCGAGTAGCAGCCATAACAACCCCCCACCCCATGTTAGGGCCACAAGACAGAAAATTCTAACTCTTTGCTTCCGTATGATAGTCACATGAATTTTTGTAGCCCAGATTTGATAGCCCAACTTGATGTAAAAGAGAAATTAAGTTAGTTGTTTGCATTGCTCTTCCCCATACAAGTTCTTACTTCTTGTCTGATTGTTGATATTTGTCTGCTTATATACATTAAAAAGTCATCAAGCCACAGTTACCATAGAAAGATTTGAAGTCCTGGGATGCAGGGCAAGGCAAGAGTTACCTGCACATTGAAAAATGGATTACCCACAAGCTCTACAAAACCACAGGACTTAATAAAAAAGTAATTCGCTTTATTATTTCAAATATTGCTGTGGAAGAAATAAATTGACAGATTTCAAAGCCAGCTGATGTTGTGGGAGCCCAGAAGGTCCCTGGTAGTTTTGAAATGCTGCAGTGTCCTTATGTGGAAGTACCAACACATTTTAAAGTGTAGTAAAAGTGGATTGAACAATACAAACTAAGACTATAGCACTTTTCACATATCCAGAGAAAAAGGCATAAAATGTGCCTCCTGCCATTCAACCTATGTTGATAAAAAGGCTTTCTAGAGGGGAGTTTGGCTGAATGTGTGAAGCCTGCTACAACATCACATACACTGATTGTGCTGGGTTTGTGCTTCTGTGAAGGGTTATAACTGCATTGAGGTACACACTGCTACATCTTCCTGCTGATATATTTCACATCAAGGAGATTTGAGGTTCTGTGTCCCCGATCATACATATTTTTGAATACACACCAAAAGGTCAAAGTTTGGGTATATTGGGATTATGATCTCTACCCCACCACCCAACCTCGTATTTATTGTGAAGGGTAGATAAATACGTTTCCTCCTGGAAGGAACACATAGCCCATGGCCAACTATGGCCTCTCAAGATACTCTGTAATTATGTTGGGTCCGAAAATTAAATTTGAGAAAAACTTTTAGTGCAAAGAATATATTTTGAAAGATTTATCTTCATTGCTTTTATCCAGCTCCTGAGAATTCTATTTATGGTTGATTATTTACCTCATGTCAATGATTAATGCATTCGTGTGAACAATCTTCTTCCAGACATGCTCCACCAGCAACTCAGAGATTTGAGGCAAAAGCTCATTGTCTCCAAACGTATCGAATCTGAGGTAACCAACATTATTCTCAAACACTTTGGTTTGGAAAGAAATCTTAATGCGGTCTTCTAACATTTCTGGGGAAAGGATCTGAAATTTTTTAAAAAATAAGTAATTAATTTTCAAGAGGAATATGGCAAATACAGGAGTCCACCTTACACAACATAATCAGTGGTGTCATTAAAATATTGTATCTTGCAGTTAGAGAGCTGAGGTGATCTGGATTGAAATCCTCATTCAAATCAGTCAACATTCCTCAGCCTACATAATAGCACTATTACAAGAATAAAATGCTTGCAGCTAAAATAAATACATGAAAATCACACGCACTAAAGTTAATCTACTTAATGCCCTTTCTAATTTGCATTCATATGAAATGGTCATCAGGAACTAGTCATACTGGGCCTCCTGTGACAAGTCTATGTTAAAATCATTTTATAACTTTAAAATATTTCATTTACACTAAGCATTTTATTTTTAAAGTAATACTGCTTGATTAAAAATAAAATCTGAATGTAATACAAACCTGTTAAACTGTGCACATGTAATCACTTTGATTTCAATTTATTTAGTTCAGTTAAATTCCAGCATTACACGAGTAAAGTTACATCTCAAAAAATAAGATTTAAACTGTGAGATAAAATATTGATAACATTTACTATGTTATTCTACTGGGATAAAATTACAGAGTATGCTTACTCATGATATATCTAAAGGATTACATCCATAAACTCAAGATTATAAGTGGATAAGTGTAAGTAAAATTAGAAAACAATACATTATTGTAGACATTATAACTATAGTAAAAGTGAGACTAAAATTGATGGAGCTAAATAACAATTATTAGTAAAATCAATTAGTAAAATCTATAAATCACTATTTACTGTAGCTTCCAAAAGGCCTGTACTAGTTTTCATTTTGCTAAAAAAATTAATGACACAAAACCAAGAAATCAAAGCTACATAGGGAAAGTAATAATAAGATAATGGAATAAAACACAGTAAACTAAATAATATTAACTAAGGAGTTACTTAGGGGCATTTTACTTGAACAAATCCAGTTCTTAGGGCAAATTCAAAGGGATTTATTCCATCCATAGTAAATGTGAGCTATCTTTATTCACATAGATTTTATGTCTGTGGCTAATGAAGCAAGCTAATAGGCACTTACCTGCACGGGCATGATCTCTGGGATATGATTACTTGGGTGTTCAGGAATATGGATTATTTTTAAGTGCTTATCTCCAGAAAGAGCTTTTAGGTCAGCTGCAATTTTTTCAGCAAGTACCGTTTCACAATTGATCTTCATGTAAGTGTCTTTTTTGGCATCATCAGAAAGTTTGTCTGCCACTGTAGCCCCAATATCAGCAAAAGCATAGTTGTCAGCCACCAGTTTGCCCACTGTCTGCAAAACACTGGGTATCTTGGTGCGCAAAGCAATGATGTTCAGGACTGAAGTCATGGCTTCCGAAGCCTGGCTGGTAACATGTGGCTGTACTCCAGAGAGACTCCACACTTTGCCAGTGACTGGACTGAGCACAACCTGGCTGGGGATGGAAGCATATAATGGGCTGCTGCCCAAATGGTAAATATTTGCAGAGAGTGAGCCCCCCAAAGTGGGCTCCCCAATTACTGTGGCACGACGAAGATCCTTCAGAGAGCGAGCAAAGGCTTCAGTTGCTGATCCACTCAAGTGGCTTATTAAGATATAAATATCCTTGGCTGAGCCATATTGTTTGCCAGATACATGTGGTAAAGTCCACACCTCAGTACTTTGAGAGGTGCTACGGTCAAAGAGTGTGTAAAGGTGCTTCTGGGGCTCACTGTCAAAGAAATAGGAACAAAATATGGGCACTGCAGTGGAATAACTGCCTGTGTTATAGCGCATGTCAATAATCATAGCATCTGTTGTCACAAGCTTGTCCCAAATATGCAATAATTGTGGTCCAATGGCCTTCACCGTCTCTGCTTCAGCCATCAAGTCAAATCGTAAATATCCTACATTGCCAGGCAAAATGTCTACCTTGAATAGCTCCTCAATTATATAGCGCATCTCCTCAGGGGTCAGAGTCTTGTTGGGAAGCTGTTCCTGTAAGGATGATTCTACATGGTTGTGAAATACATGTAACTGGTGATCCCCAGAAACTTCTTGAAGGTCAGTGGTCAACTGTAAGGCAAGCATTTCAAAGTCCACTGCTGTGCGATAACCTCCTTGAGTCAACTTGGAATTTAATATGCCTCTTGCCCATCTGGCCATTTCTGGTACGGCATAATGTGCTTCAAGCAACAGGCCAAGTTCCTCAATAAGTGCTCCCATATCTCTATGGAATTCCAACACCTCTCGTGCTTTCTCCAGAGCCTCATCAGCTAGTACAATGGCATCAGGCACCACTTCTCCACCAAGCCAATATTCCCCATGGTTATCAATGAAGGTGATGACTGGCACATTGATAAAGAGGCCACAGTCTTCCTCTTCTCTTAACTTGAGTATGCAGAAGGGGTGTGTGTGGGACAAGCTGCCTGCAGTAATTTCACCAATCAGGGTAGCACGGCCAAGGGATTGCATCAGGTAGGCAAACTCCTCAGCTGTTGTAGCAGTTTGATGGCTGGTGAGTAGATAGATGCCACGTTGTGTCCCATAGGGCTTGCCCAGTAGTTCAATTCTACTGTTGTAAACTTGAGTCTGGTTTGTAAGTCTGTTATAGCTGGTAAAGAAATGCACAGGACCAGCAGAGGGATCTTGGAAGTAAGATAATAAGATTGGTACAGCATCTGAAAATGGTCCACCATGGTTGTAGCGCAAGTCAATGATCAAATAATCAGTTGTCTGCAAAGGTTCCCAGACTTGATTTATAATGTAGGGCCCTAGCTTGATCAGCACTCCAGCATCAGCAAACTGATCAAAGCGCAGGTAACCCACATTTTCTGATAGTATTGACACTTTAAACACAGCAGCCAGGATTTGTTTGAGTTGTTCACCATCAGGTAGATCAGTAGTCATGTCAATCGGCTCTTCAGCTGTTGTAACCATAGCCTCACTGGTTGTGGTAGTCCACAAGAAAAGACGTGGGTCTTTGGATATGCTTTGTAATTCAGTATTGAGTTTGAAAGCCAGATCCTTTTCTGACAGGATGGTGGAATAATCAAATGCAGAGAGTTGTTGAAGCAGGGCTGGTACCTGCTCCACTATTGAATAATTGTTCTGCAAGATGTGCATCAAGTGACTGATAGTATCAGGAACAGCTTTGCGAAGTGAAATAATGGCCAGGGCATCATCCAGAGCTTGCTCTGCTGAAATGGCTACACTTGGTATCACCCCATTAAGTTCCCAGCTTTGCCCACTGCTGCTTAAGGGGCTCATAGAACATGATACAGGAACGGTCATGTAGAACTGGGAAGCACCAATCTGTAATTTCTGGATGTCCAAGGAGCCACCTGCTGTTCTTTCTCCCACTATTATGGCCCTGTGCATTTGCTTGAGGATATAAGCCACATCTTCAGCCACCCCAGAGGTGTGCTTACTTGTTAGCAAAACTACATCCTTGTTCTTACTATATCTTATACCCAGCACTTTTGGAAAGGTCCAGATTTCCACAGTACTATTAGAAGGCCGGTTGTATACAGTGTCCACATGCAGCACCTTGTCCGCATTGTACAAGTAGGAGATAATGAATGGAATGCCTGAGATCTTCCCTCCAGTGGCGTAACGCAGATCTAATACCAGAGCGGATGTCTCCATCAAGGGCTTCCACATGTTTTCTACCAGGAAAGCACCAATTTGCTGCACAATGTTCTCACCAATGATGTAGTCTGTTCTTAAGTAGCCCACGTTGTCATCCAGCACTTCAGACTTCACTGTATGTTTGGCAACATCTAAAAGCTCTTCTAATGATAGAGAAGCCTCAGTTTCTTGCTCAGGGACTGCAGGAGCTAAAGGTTCATAAGATACCACCAGCCGTGGATCATTCAAAGTTCCTTGAACTCCAGCTGTCAGAACTGTTGCCAAGATTTTAGGATCTGAGATATCCAAGGTCTCACCACTCTTGATGGCTTGTTCAATGGCTTCTTGCATTCCCACCAGATTTTCTGGAAAACAATAATTATCCAACAGAATTTTGGCCATGTCCAGCACCAGTGTGGAGTTCAAGACACTCTCAATATGGATGCTACCAAATATAAATGCCATTCCCAAAAATAATTTTTTTCTTATTATTTTCATGCTGTTAGAAAAGTGCAAATGAAATCCACACTATTTGCAGACTGTGAGAAATGTAGGTTCTTCCTGCTCGGTCTGAAAAACAGAACTGAGTATTAAATCAGAGAGACACCATATCTATTTTAACTGACACTAATCTTTAAATCTAGTTCTAAGTCTTTAATCTTATTGAACTGGAGGACATGTGGCAGGGTGCAGTTTTGTTCTATATTGCAACAACCATCTTATGAAACCACTTTAACAACCTTCTGTAAACCAAATTGTGCTTAAACCACTTTGTTATGTTTACACAATGCCTCAATTCCCTAATCTCTGAATCAGGTGCTGTCTACCAGAATCTGGATCAGACTGTGCTTGATTTTAAATAATTCAAGTGACTAATTTGGATATAGTAAACAAAATAAATAAATAAAATTAGTTTGCTAGAAAGTTCTAGTAACTCAGCTGTTGAAATCTGAATTCTAGATTAAAATGAATGTGTTGTTAGCTGTTTAAAATAATTAACAGTGTTTATGATTCACTGAGATAAAAGAGTCATTCTGGTACCTTATTTATTAATATTGGCAACAACAACAACAAAAAAACACTACAAGGCACAGAATGTTTCTAACTTTGCACAAACTCTTTTTTACTATGTGTATTTCTCAATATTGCAAAATAATGCTAAAAACATTTTCAAATTGTATTATATATTTGTTTAATACATTTATATATATTTTCCTGTGCCAAGACTCTCTATTGTTATAATTTTATTGAAAGTTTTAAAAAGGAAGATAAAAACTAATACCAACTAATATAAAGTAAGGAAGAAAAAGAAAAAGAAAGAAAGCAAAGAGAAAGCTAAAAGTGCAAGAAAGGAAAAAAAGTAAAAGAAAAATAGAAAAAGAAAAGAAAAAAGATACAAAGATGCAAAGAAGTGGCTTCCGATGTTCTTTACAACAGTTTTAAGTTCAATTATAAATTCATCTTTTTCTTTAAAGTTACAACATGTTTCTCTTTTTTTCTATAATCTATCCTATCTAATCATCAAAACCATAAATCATAAGTTCATTTTTTTTGTTTTCTTCAAAAAGTCCATAAGGAGTTTCCAGTCATCAATAAACATACTGTCTTTTCTCTAATCAAAGACATCAACTTGGTCATCTCAGTAAGTTCCATCATCTTCACCAACCATTCCTCCATTGTGAGTAGTGCTGAATTGTTCCATCTTTGTGCATACAATAATCTTGCTGCAGTTATCATATACATAAACGAAGTTCCATGACT